TGTTTATTATTTTTATCTTCAAAAATTACTTAGACATCGATTATAAATGAATAAAGCTCTTCGAGAATTCAATCATGTGGAGGTGAAAGTGGTGTAGCATAATTTGGAAGCATCTGGCGATATTCAGATGTGTTGCTAATAATTGAATACAGTTCTTTGCGACCCTTTCTTACAGATTCATTAATATTAATAATCTTAGTTGCGGATCTATTGACAGCAAACTACATCCCGTGTTTTGGTTAGAAATTTTCTAAATGTTTATCAAAGCTAGATGAGACATACCCGAAACTTGAGTAATGTAAGTATAAAGTCTTCCACATCTTCCGCTTGAGATGGTGAAAAGGGGATAGAAACAACCGCAAATTTTCGTAATCGATAAAATATCCCGCCTACCAAGTCAAATATAAAAAAGACAAATTTGATGCAACCTAATCCATGTATATATGAATATTATGATATTCTTATGAAATAATCTAATTTTGAAAATGTGCGCATAAAAACGAATCTTAGCTGGCTCACCAATTGATTGAATAGCGAATAGATCTATGTCGCTAAATTGTTCTCTGATCTCATGATTAATGTCTGTGATTTTGTAATTGACTAATTCTCTTTCTAGTCGTTCTTCAGCATCCTTCATCATTCTTATCATTTTTTCACGATCTCCTGTTACTTTATTATCATCAGCACCATTTCGACAACTTTCGCCAACCATGATTTCAACTTTTCTCTTTGGAATAACAATTCGCAAACGAAAATCAGGTATACGTCCATTCCTATTATTTTCTTTGTGAATCCGTTCAGCGCTTGCCTCTGACGTTTCATCACCCCTTATATTATAAGTTATAGTAAATTATAGATATCTACTTATTTTTTACAAAAGTAGAACTACCTACCATGTTAAAATATATGGAGCGTCAAGACCGAAAAAAAGCTCATCAATCAAATGACCTGTCTGTGTGACAGTAATATGGTTTTCAGGTGGATTTTTCTTGTCCATACCATGAACAGGATGTTTTTCATTACGCCAGAAGTGTCGGCTAAAATGTAGTAATGTTAGTGCAAAGGCCTACAATGTAGGATTTAATTAAAAAACCCATATACTTACAGTCTATTTAGCAACCCAATTGCGCATCTTACATAAGATTCATCTTGTTTTGACACATGACCTTGAAGAGCTTCAGGTACTACGAAAGGCACATCGTGACAAAACTCCCAAGTTTCATTTTTATATGTTTTTACGAAAAGCTGAACTAATTTGTCTACAATGGAAAATACAGTATCATCGATCATAACCTTTTTAAAATATGTGCGATCTTTGGAACTGAGAAGACTGAATGTTGGATCATGCGAATTTGTAGTGTCAAGAACTCCAATAACACTAGGTGATGTAAAATGAAGACGTTCTAACTTTGTCTTGGTGAACGCATCAACAACTTGTTCGATCTTGTGTTGTTTATCTTTACTCATCCAACTGGCTTGTTTCTATGTCGAAACACTCGCAAATAATTGATGCATAAACCTATAAATCTTTACAACAACATTTACGTATTATATCTTACCATTGCTTTCTGCATTTCCTCTATGTTTCTTTTAAAATCCTTCTTCCATTGTTCTTTTACATGCAAATATTTGTTTTGATGCTTTTTTGAAATTGATTTAAATAGACGATCACGCTATATTATATAAAAATAATATGGAAATAGTTAGATAAAATCCATGAATACAATACAAGGCATCAATAATTATAATGTGGGCTATGTCAGTATCATACAAGACGTCAAAAAGATGCTATCCCGTTTCTACTTGGAAGAAGAGAGTATTACACAAAACATCAAAATGAGCGTTATCCTCGCTTCCATCTGGGAAGAAGAGTTGTGCACAAAACGCCCAAAGGATGATGCTATTCTCGCTTCCGTTTGGAAGAAGAGAGTACATCTAAAAAAACGCTGGGTATGCATATGGCTTTTTTTAATCATGAACCCAATGTGTAAGCAGACTTTTTCAAAGACTACCTTTTTACCCAGTAAACGCGTGTCGGTTTCGGCTTTTTCCAAATTATGGAGCTCGGATATAGTTACGTGATTTTTAGCTTCTATTATTCCACGTGACCATCTGTTATACGCTTCTACTGAGCTTTTTGGAGGTAGTTCCGACTGAAACTCTCGTATTAGCCATGTTTCATAATTTAACGCCAAAAAATCATCTGCATTTCGGACGAACCAGTGTGTAGACTTGTGAGTGTATTCTTTCTCAGACATCTCTGATAAAGAAATTAAATATCAAAAATTGTCTATTTTATACCTTTTGATCGTGTTTTGTGTCGATCATACTTGACGCGTAATAGCAATTAAATTTTATACAGTAACTAGCCGAATTTGGTTGTCATTAGCATGCAGAATTTCACGTATCAATTTGCTTTATATGGTCGTCTAAAGCCATGCCCAATTACATATTGATATACATGTTGCGTAAATTGTATATCAAAAAATAACTTCTAACCGGACACGGCTTTAGCCTTTTATATAGGAATATGATATCGATCCCGAAAAAATTCATATGATATTTAATGTTCTAAATTGACCAATACACATTTTTTTTTATTTTAATGAAATACTAGTGTCATGTTATATAAGGATTTTCACCCGCATGATTGAATTCTCGAAGAGCTTTATTCATTTATAATCGATGTCTAAGTAATTTTTGAAGATAAAAATAATAAACA